AAAATGAATCAAACCCATATTTATTTCTATGTTTATCAAATTCGCGATTTTAATTGGTCAATCAACAAATAGCATGGATTAAAATTTTGTGTTCCCTCCTGTTAATTTTGTGTTCCCAGAACGGTCTCTCCTGTTCCCTTCCAGATCTCACGCAAAGATTAAATTTTATTGGCTTGAAGATCATTATGCAAATTTGAAAACAAATATTAATATTGGATGGAAGGAAATTTAGTTTTGAATTGATAAAAATAAAATGTTTGTGATAAATAAAAGAATTAATATAGTATTTCTTTATTGAATGTTTTGACTTCATCAAATCAAAATTTTACCTTTGATCATGAATTACCATCCATTACATAATACTGTGTATAAATATCTGTCATTTCCTATAAATAAATAAATTGGTGGCATGAATATGAATATATGAATTTTGAAAATAAAAATAAAAACAAATGTAAATATAAATATAAATATAAGAGAAATATATTTTAAATATGTTTTTTAAATTGTATATAATCAAATATATAAAATAAATACTTATTCTTTAAAGTATAATAATAATGAGAATATAGAATAAGACTTTACCTGCAAGTATAATAATGACTTATTAATAAAGTAAAATATTATTATTTATATTTTAAAAATAAATAATAATAATAAATAATAATGACACAATTCTGACATACAAGATCACAGAAGCCTTAAACTTTTACTTCTAAGATATCAAATTGATCAAATTGATCGGGTTTGGGTCAATTTACTGACACCCACTTTACCAATAGAACACTTTACCAAAAACCACTTTACTGACAAGACACTTTACCAATAGGATACTTTATTGACAGGACACTTTACCAACAAGCATTGTGTTAACAATTTGCTAAGGACTGTGTGAAGACCTGGATAACTCTATGTAGAAGCTAAAAGTTTGTTTTTTACAGTCAAGTTAAATCAACTGTTGATTGTGTACTGACCATGCCCTACAAATCGTTAAATAATAACACAACTTATTATCCTTACTTTGCATCAAAAACCAGTTCATAAAAATACAATATAGATACATGTGTAATATATTTTTTCTGCCTGACGAAATTGATAAAAATTGCATATTCAGACTTCATGTTATTTTATTAAATTTATTTATTAACATTTAATCTGATTTGTTATAATTGTGATGAATTTATTTCTAATTTTTAAATAAATAAAATAATTAAATCTTTTCTCTCACATTTGAATACTTTCAAACATAATTTCTTGAATTTTTATGAAAAAAAAAAAGAGTAATGATTTTGGATGTTAAACTCACACCCTTATTATATAAAAAGCATTGAAAATCCCAAATTGCCAAAATAGTTTGAGCTTTGAGAAACAGTTTGGGCTAGAAACCTTACTTGATTGTCAGTAAAGTGTCCTGTTGGTAAAGTGGGCGTCAGTAAAGTGTCCAGGTCCCAATTGATCAAGTTTTACCAAAAAGTTAAACCAATATATTAATATTAAAAAAAAAAAATAGATTTTCCATAAAATGGGTTATGTGTGTGGTCACGTGACTTTTATATTCTAAATTCAATATAAAAAAGATCAATGATTGATTTTGTCATAAGTGTTAAAATGAATGACCACTATGCTATAAAATAGTTGACCAATAGGTTTTATTGCTCATGCATAACTCAGGCTTCAAAACTTATTTGCCAGTTTTTTTTTTGAACTAAAATTGGCAGAGCCTTAGCATTTTGAAATTCCAAATATTGAATTATTTATATTATTTATTTCCTTCATCAGGAAATTTTTCTGATGTGGATTTACATAATTATTACACTATTTATGTAAGTTTACAGCAGGCCCTGTAATATTATGCAAATATTACAACTTTACATATTAAAATTTATGGACATAATATGGGGGCTGTTCTAGGAAAAAGTGGGTTTCTTCAGATTTTTGACATGTTGACTGTCACAAAAAAAAAGATCATTTAAGATTTGTTTTTTGTGTGTGATTAATCGTTATTAATT